TATATACCCAAAAGAAGCAGTGTATGGAGTACCTATGTTCACATTACCAATAATATTATGCACAACAGGCCATTGTAACCCAATTTCAATATCAATATGATACCTATGATACTTAGCTAAACAGTAAAACATACCATTTTTGATGTAAAATCAACAGAAAAAAAACTTTTTAACATAAACAAAATGATCAAAATATACAATAAGGATAATAGTATAAATAAAAATCGACGAATCGGCCTATCATCGCCCATAACATTCACCACTCCCCACTCCCCAATCCCCTTTCCACGCACAGATTGTTTACCCCTTGGTTTACCTGTGTTCGCAATCTCCCGGACGACGAAGATTGTTGAAGAAAACGATGTGCCGCCAGACGGCGCGGGTTATGGTCCGCGGCCGATATAGATGTCGCGGCAAACGCGTGCCTTTGCCCCATCTGTATTTCGTGGTTATTTTTGCCTTGTTTAATGTTCTAAAATCAATTGGTGTTTTTATTGATTTATTGCTTTTATTGTGTTTTCTGAGGTGGAATTTGTGATTTGCTTGTTTTGTGATTGACCGTTTTTTTCCATCTCTTGCTTCTCTTTTTTTGCTGTCGTGTCATTGTTGTTGCGTGTGATGGGCGGTTAGCTGCACGCCCGATGTTCGCTTTTTGCTCAGTGGCGAATAGAGTTGATGTTGAGTTCAGAAGTTTGGTTTCCTGAACATTTGGTGCCGAAACTGCGGGACGTAGAACCAGTGATCTTTGATCGAGTACTTCTGGATGTTTGGTGCCCAGAAGCAAGATAGTACTGCGCTGGTTTCGTCTATTTATACCACGCCGGTCGGTTTGGTGACGACATGGACGTGGAGAGATTGAAGAGAGCGCGCGCCGCGGCTAGGGGCTGGGCCACGCGATCGTGCAGGGCCCTCCAGCTGGCGTGTAGCGCTCCAGAGCCGGATTGCTATGAAATCCAAGAGCTGAAAGCCGAGGTCGAGCAGAGGTTGAGTGCGCTAGATTCGTCTCAAGCTGCGCTGGAAATTGAGTTTGATGAGTCGGAGCTGCCAGAAGTTGTGGAAGAGGCTGCTGACTTTCGCAGCGGTATCAGCAAGGTGCTACGCACTGCTGGTAAGCTTCTCCTTCGTGATATTGATCCGAACCTGCCTGCTCACTCTGGTGGGGCCTCCAATGCTGGAACCTCTGGTCTGCCGAGACTCCCGAAGTTAGACCTACCCAGTTTTGATGGGGACGTCCTGAAGTGGTTGAACTTCTGGGAGTGTTTTCAAGCAGCAGTTGGTGATAAGGAGGAGTTAGCGGACATTACTAAACTGGCCTATCTTCGGTCCCTTCTGCGGGGTGAGGCTGCTCAGTGCATTGCTGGGCTCCCGCTGACTGGTGCCAACTTTGCTACTGCCAGCAAGCTGCTGCAGGACAGGTATGGCAGGACGGATTTGATCATCTTTAAACATGTGCAAGGTCTGCTGAACATGGACAGAGCAACTGAGGATGTGAGCAGTCTCCAAAAGTTGCAAGATGAGCTTCAAGTGCATGTGCGGAGCCTTGAGTCACTTGGAGTGAAAGGAGACAACTATGGGGTTATCTTAACTCCACTGTTGCTGAGCCGGCTTCCCAAGGACATTTGCCTGGCTTGGGCGCGTGACAGTGTTGGCAAGGAAGGTGATCTGGTGTTCCTGCTGGAGGTGCTTAAGGCTGAGGTGAACTCCAGGGTGAAGTCTGGGGTTTACAGCGGCCTGTCTGCAGCTGGTGAGAAACCGACTACAGCTTCAGGAGTGAAGACCCGGCCAGTGGACCGGGACAGCGGTCGGAGGAAGAGGCTTCAGCAGCCTCGGTCTGGGGCAGCTCTGCAGGCTGCTTCCCCTGGTGCTGGTGCTGGGTGTGAGTTCTGCTCAGGGCCACACAGAGCTACTGAGTGTCCTGACTTCCTCAGCTTAAGTGTAAGCGAGCGACAAGACAAGGTGAGAGGAGCTAACTTGTGTTTTGTCTGCCTAAAGGGGGGACATCGAGCCAGACACTGTCTAGAGAAGTGTGCTCACTGCAAGGGTAGACACAATGTGCTCTGTTGCTACAAACATGTCTTTGACTTTACTCACAAGGGTGTGAAAGCTTCTGATGCTGTTTCAAGTGATAGTGCTCATGTGGGTTCAGGCAGTAGGCCTGCTGCCACTGCTTCATTGTCATGTGTACCCCCAGTTCAATGTAGCGTACTGCCTACTGCTCGTGTGTATGTGAAGGGTAGTAAGGGGGTAGTTGAAGCTACTTTGATGTTTGACACTGGGAGTGATCGCAGCTATGTCAGCCAGTCACTGGTGAAAAGAGTTGGTGCAACTTGGATAAGAGCAGAAAGGAACACTTACTGTGCCTTTGGTGGGGGCAAGTCTGCTATCGCTGAGCGTCAGTTGTATGAAATGGAGGTGTCAGGAGCCAATATGGCCAGGCCGGATGCAGTCTGTTTGAGGGCCATGGAGGTTCCTGTGATTTGTTCCCCTTTGCAACGTCCGCAGGTGCCACAGGAGGTGGTTCGCTCCTTGGGTGGTTTGGAGCTGGCGGACGGGAGATTCAGTTCTGATCGACACCTGTCTGTGGACCTGCTGGTTGGGCTGGACCAGTACTGGCAGCTGCTGAAGGACGGCCTGCTCCGTACTTCTGCAGGTTTGGTCGCCCAAGAGACGGTATTTGGTTGGACAGTCTCTGGCTCTGTAGCTGGCAGGCCAACCTTGTCCACCTGTCAGCTCCTCTTGCTTAACGATGTCTCAGATGATGCCTTCCGCAACCTGTGGGATTTGGAAGCCATAGGTGTTTCACATGATGATGATGAGTCAGATCCTGTTCTTGCTCATTTCAATGCTACAGTCTGTAAGAGAGATGGGCGTTACGAAGTCAACCTTCCTTGGAAGGAGGGGAGTGCTCCTCTGGGTGACAACCGTGACATGGCGGCTGGTCGTTTGGCAGGATTGAGACGAAAGCTGGCTAAGGACCCTGTACTTGCAGAGCGCTATGATGCTGCTTTACAGGAGATGGAGGATGCCGGGGTTATTGAGGAGGTTCCTGGCTGTGAGCTGCAGACCTCGTACCCGGTGTTCTACCTGCCGCACCGGCCTGTTTTGAAGGAGGACAGCTCCACTACTAAGGTGCGGCCGGTATTCGACGCGTCGGCAGTGGGCCCTGGCGGCGTCTCACTCAACGACTGCTTGGAGGTGGGTCCGTGCTTGGTTCCGAGCCTGCTGGAGATACTTCTGCGCTTTAGGCGCTGGCCGTTCGCCATTGCAGCGGATATCTCAAAGGCTTTTCTGCAGGTTCAGCTGCGTAAGGAGGACCGGGACGTGCACCGATTCTTGTGGTGGCGTAACGGAAGGGTACGGGTGATGAGGTTCATGCGTGTCACTTTCGGTGTGAGGAGTTCGAGTTTCCTCCTGGCGGCCACTATCCGCCACCACCTGACACAGTACCCGTCCTCGCCTCTGATTTCGGATCTGTCGGAGAATTTCTATGTTGACGATTACCTGTCTGGTGCTGACACTGAGAGTGACGCCTGCTCTAAGCTGAAGGAGGCACAGACTGTAATGGCAGATGCTGGAATGACGCTGACGAAGTGCTCGTCCAACAGTACAGCAGTGTTTGATATGGTGCATGGCGTGTCGTCGGCTGAGTGCGGGCCCGTGAAGGTGCTTGGGGTCCGCTGGATTCCGGGTCGTGACGCATTCTGTTTTGACGGCGTCTGTTTGCCAGCAGATGTCGTTCCCACTAAGAGAGCCGTGCTCAGCTTCATTGCGAGGCTGTACGACCCGCTCGGCTTTGTCGCGCCATTTACAATGATGGCGAAGCTGCTCTTTCAGGACATCTGGCAGCTGGGTCTGGAGTGGGATGCCGTACTGCCAGATGACCTCAGCCTGACCTTTTCGCAGTGGGTGAAGGGTCTGACCGAGTTGAAGGAGTTTGAGGTCCCGCGCTGTTTCACAGAGAGGCCTTGGAATGATGGAGAAGGTGTTGAGTTGCATGCATTTGGCGATGCGTCTCCGAAGGGCTATGGTGCCGCAGTATACCTGCGTGCCGCTCGTGAGGATGGATCATACGCCGCGTCTCTCGTGATGGCTAAGGGGCGTGTGGCTCCTCTAAAGGAGCTGAGTCTGCCGCGGCTGGAGCTCTTGGCTAGCTTGATGGCTGCGCGTCTGCTCGTGTTTGTACGACGGGCTCTGAGACTGCCGGAGAGTGTGGTTCTCCGCTGCTGGACTGACTCCATGGTTGCCTTGGGATGGATCCGCGGGGATCCCAGCAGGTGGAAGCAGTATGTTTCTAACCGGGTAACAGAGATCCAGCGGTTGACCAGCCCTTCGAGCTGGGCTCACGTGGCGGGAGAGGAGAACCCGGCAGACTTGTTGACCCGTGGCGTGTCGGCGAGCAGCCTAATCGGTTCTGACCTGTGGCTGGCTGGGCCCGAGTGGCTGTCCTCTTCGGCAGGTCGACCGCCGTCTGCAGACGGTGACGACAGCGCTTCACCGGAGGCGAGTCTTCCGAGGGAAGAGATGGCACTGCTGTCGAGATCTGGCAACCCCACAGCTCTGTTTGAGGTGGAGCGGTGGGGATCGCTTCGTAAGGCGACTCGCGTCGTGGCGTGGGTCAAGCGGTTTGTGTTCAACTGCCGCAACCCTGGTCTGAGGCGACAGTCTGAGCTGTCTGGTGATGAGATTGCGGAGGCCAGGACAGCTCTGGTGAGGGACGCGCAACAGGCTGCGTTCCCAGAGGAGGTGAGTGCTGTGGAGAGGGGCAGGCCACTGCCCAAGAGCTCACCTGTCCGCGATTTGACGCTTTTCATGGGCGATGATGGGCTTCTGCGCATTCGGGGTAGGATCCAGCTGTCCGATTTAGCATATGAGGCGAAACATCCGGTTGTGTTGCCAAAGGGACATGTATCGGAGCTATTGGTGCGTGATCAGCACGTTGTCATGGGTCATGCGGGCGTCTCGGCTCTCATTACTGCGATCCGGGGAGCTTACTGGGTTGTTGGGCTGCGTTGTCTTGCTAAGCGGGTAAAACGCAGTTGTGTGGACTGCCGGCGGCAGGACGCTCCGAGTTGTAGCGAGCCAGCCGCTCCGCTGCCCGAGACCAGGGTCACTGAGGCGCCGGCATTCGCAGTGACTGGCGTGGATCATGCCGGTCCGGTGTTTTGTGTAGATTTTCCAAGGAAGAAGTTTTACATTACGTTGTTTACGTGCGCTGTTACGCGGGCCGTTCATGTTGAGCTAGTCGACTCGCTCTCTCAGGAACAGTTCATGCTGGCTTTACGGCGTTTCGCGGCCAGGAGGGGTATGCCGTCTATCATTTATTCAGACAATGCTAGGACGTTTGTAGGCGCTGACGTTCTGTTACAGAATTATTTCGGTCATTTGGCTCCCGAGTGGAAACTGATAGTGCCTCGTTCCCCATGGTGGGGAGGATGGTGGGAGCGGCTGATCCGCTCCGTAAAGTCGGGGCTTAGACGGTCACTGGGGTCGCGCTGTCTCACTAGGGCCGAGTTAGAAACTGTTTTGTTTGATATCGAAGCGTGTGTCAATTCGCGCCCGCTGACCTTTGTGGGAGATGGTCTGGACTGTAGTAACGCTCTGACCCCTAATCATTTTCTACTGGGGCGCGGCGCTGGATTCCAAACCAAGGTGTTAGAGGATCCGGACAGTGTGTGTGCTAAGGCGCTGTCTGAGAGAGCTAGACTTTGTGAAAAGCGTGTAAATAGATTTTGGTCCGTTTGGGCGAGGGAATACCTCCAGAGTCTGCCCTGCTCAGTTAGGAAGTTTTCAACCCGTGGCAAGCTTGTCGTGGGCTCAGTAGTCTTGTTGGGTGAGGACAATGTGCCGAGGATGCGATGGGTGACCGGTGTTGTTACTAAACTGTTCCCTGGTAGGGACGGCACTGTTAGGTCCGCCGAGGTTCGAACGGCAAAGGGCCTGAGAACACGCGCAATCCAGCGGCTGCATGATTTGGAGCTGGGAGCACAGCTGCAAATTCCCGATGCTTAGGATAAGTGAGTGACGTGCAGCGCTGTGCTCGTTCATCATATTCAGTCGCTCGTTGATGTTATCTTTCACAGTGTGTTAGGGTTGCTCGTATGTCTTGCCAGACTGTTATGCGTATTGGTTAGTTGTGTGAAGTAGTTACTTCAGGTGGGGAGAAAATGTTGAAGAAAACGATGTGCCGCCAGACGGCGCGGGTTATGGTCCGCGGCCGATATAGATGTCGCGGCAAACGCGTGCCTTTGCCCCATCTGTATTTCGTGGTTATTTTTTGCCTTGTTTAATGTTCTAAAATCAATTGGTGTTTTTTTATTGATTTATTGCTTTTATTGTGTTTTCTGAGGTGGAATTTGTGATTTGCTTGTTTTGTGATTGACCGTTTTTTCCATCTCTTGCTTCTCTTTTTTTGCTGTCGTGTCATTGTTGTTGCGTGTGATGGGCGGTTAGCTGCACGCCCGATGTTCGCTTTTTGCTCAGTGGCGAATAGAGTTGATGTTGAGTTCAGAAGTTTGGTTTCCTGAACAAAGATTCTATACGTCGTCCGACCAATCACGTTCAAGATCAGCGGGGCTTGGCCGCGGTTCTCGAACGCCATTGGCCAGATTACGCAGAATCTTCGTCGTTAGGAAAACTGTGAACACGGGGTTACATTTTTCGCTATGGTAACAAAAGCGCCAGAATTGACTACCAGAATTGGATCCGAAGGTCAAATGGGTCACGTGACTGTCAAGTTCAGATGGACAACACCTGGTATTTATAGTCACCGTGACTTTAGCGGTGGGCTGTACGTGGTGGGACCGGCTGGGAAATAGAAAGGTAGTAGGAGGAAAAGTTCTGGTTGGTGAAGTGATGCATACCTAATGGATTTGGGAATGGGGTGATACATATTAGAATCCGTATCACACGGATGCCTTCAAACCGAACACAGCCAAACGTAATGCCTGTCTTACATGCTATGGTTATTCTGATTAATTTTTAAACGTTGATGGACACATTTATTTTAATAAAGCTATCATCGACATCCCTAAAGCCACTCACTCCTTTTAGACATGGTCTTGGTGTTTTGTTCAATTTGATTGTTTTTATAAAGGCCGTTACCGGCAGATCTATTGCAAAAAACTGGTAAGAAGCAGGCAAGACCTCCCGACGGTGCTCATTTCGAGGTCAAAGTGACCAAACATACTCATTTCGAGGTCCTATATTGAGCGTTCTCCGACTAAACGCAGCACCAATCCCAAATATCCTCTGGGTTTACAACTTTACGAGTTATGAAGACATTTAGCCGCAAAGTTTAAGATTACTAAAACTCCGGCACAGAAGTTTGCACCGCGACAAAATGTGTTGCTAGGCTGGATATTCTGTCTGCCTGTCTGTTTGTATGCCTCAGTTCTCATTTTACTTGTGTTGTGTATTTTAGCATGAATATGATGCATGCTTGAGAGATTGTATAAGAGATTGAAGTTTTCCCAAATTATCATCATTCATGAAAACAACTGTAGACAAATATCTGCCATAGTTCTCGGGTAATCGAGTTTAAACCCGTCTAAATTTGTAACTTTTCTAATACCACCGTAGGTAATAAACGGCGCTGACAAGCCTGAAAACTTCCTCCTGGTTTTCGATATCCTTTCCATCATCGACCTAGACTTTGTCGAGCGGAATCGTGATTGCAGCTCATTTTCGGCCCAAAGTCGCCATAAAACAGTCCATCTGAAAACTCTTTAGTTCATCTGACAGCATTGGCAATGACAGGTTTGATGTTTGCCGACCCTACTTTTCAGGTTAAGCGAAAAAAAAAAAAACTTTTTGCTTGCAAAACGACGGGTGTCATTTATTGTTTCCGCAGATGCATGATTTGCTGCGAATGCTATGAAGACTGATTGAATGTTGATGTGCTGCGAGATTTTCCTTTATTTTCATCTGATCCATGAATGTGTTTAAAGATAATGCTGAAATAGCGAGAAAACTTGCTGAAAAAAGATGGAAGAGACCTCGATAGCAGTTCAACAACGATGTTTTGTTTTGTTGCACTCATTCATGAATGCTAAAACTTTGCTTTTAGCTCAAGTGCCGAGCTCTGGACCACACATTGATATCAGATGCTCTTCGATCCCATCTAGCTAAGTTGTGGTAGAAAGTTTCGCGGTTGAAAGTGGACCTGTCTTATGACCCCAAGTCTGCCCTGGATGGGGTTTAAATACCTCCGGGGTCGAGCGGAGATTTTTGAATGTCTTCTGGGTGTGGCAATGACAGCGTCTGATGTGTTTTAATCTGGCGTTCCACCGTTGGAGAAGTTGACTGGAGTGTTCATGATATGTGTCGTGATTATGATGACCCTGAAATCTTCTGGGAGTGCTCTGGTGATGGCAGAAATGCTTCAGGCGTCACTGCAAAATAAGAGTGAATGATTCTGTAGTTTATACCATAGATAACAGTAGATAACAGTAGATAACAGTAGATAACATAGATAGCAGTATCAGTTCTACTGTTATCTATGTTTATATTAACCCTCGCATGTGTGCGGCGTTTTCCAGCATCTAATGTGTAGGGGGGGGGGGTCGGTTGGACCCCCTCTTGCCGTTTGGCCCCTGATCGAGCTAGAAAAAACGAGCGTGTTGCCCGTGACGAGAGGAAGCCGATGATACCCAATTTTAAGGTCCTAGGTCATTGGTTGACCTCCCAGGTCAGGTCAATGACCCAAAGTCGGGAAAATCGGGACCTGTTAGAAAGTCGTAAAGTGTGGCTGCTAAGGGGTTTTTCGGGACGCTGATCACGAATATCGTGTTAGTTTTGATCACAGATGATGTCTTTAAGCATTTAGACCAAGTCGGGTCAGGTCAGGTCAGGTCAACCAGTAGGGGTCGTGACGGGTATTCGTAGTACGTGTCAACCGCCTCTGACAGCTTCGTAACATGTTACGAAGTCACCAAAACTACTTCGTAAATGTTAAAATGGTTGCTAAATTCGAAATCAGCTCCAAAAACTAGCCTAGAAACATGTAAAACTCGAAAAAGTGAACCGAGGTCACCCGAGGTCACCAAAGGTCAATGACCTGACCTGACCTTCAGGTGACCTTGACACCCACCCTAATGCATGGGAGCAACATCAAATCACATGTTTGAACGTTTGAAACCACGAAAAACTTGCAAACGCGCGGCTAATGCGAGCCGACATACGCTGAATCGCGATTCCGGCCAAACATGGTCTCGGAAAAGAGGTCACAGGTCAAAGGTCATTTGGGTCAGGGTCATGAAATTTTCAGGGTAGGTGTAAAATTGATCAATGCGAGGGTACTGAAAGTTTCGTCGCGATCGGCCGATTTTTACGCGAGTTATTTGCGAAAAACCATGGGGGGTCCATCCGACCCCCCCTACACATGCGAGGGTTAAAACGAATGATAGAAACATTGTCAACGTCAAACATCCTCTAAATTGCTATGGAACGCAAAACTAAGAATTACTAAAGAATGAATGATACGGTAACTTTGAAAGAATGAATTATTGAATGCATAAGAACGATGGCTTATTTCAACCAGGTCCAAGGCGTACAATTTTTTGCTATAAATGATTAACGTATACAATTTATTCATTCCCTACATGTGGAAGGCGCTGATCAAGCAAGCCATCAGGAGACGTAATGACATGTGAACGAACGAACGAACGAACGAACGAACGAACGAACGAACGAACGAACGAACGAACGAACGAACGAACGAACGAACGAACGAACGAACGAACGAACGAACGAACGAACGAACGAACGAACGAACGAACGGACGGACGGACGGACGGACGGACGGACGGTAACGCTATCAACAAAGAAATCAATGAACTAGAACAGTAACTATGTTTTTCTGTTTCCGGCAGGTCGAAGGCGCTCATCAAGCACGCAATCCTGGAGAACGACTTCATGAAGAACCTGCAGAACGACCAGATTCAGGAGATAGTCGAGTGCATGTATCCGGTGGAGTACAAGCGGACCTCCTTGATCATCAAGGAGGGCGACATCGGTAGCGTCCTCTTCGTGCTGGAAGGTAGGTTCCATGGAGGTCAAGGAGACAAAGAGGGAGATATTGTGTCCTCTCGTGCTGGAAGGTAGGTTCCAAGGAGACCAGGGAGGTAAAGAGGGAGACATTTAATTGATTGTCCTCGTCGGCCTGAAGGTAGGTTTCAAGGATGTCAGTGAGACAACAAGGGGGACATTTTAAGTTTTTTTTTTTTTTTGTCGTGGTAGGTGAGTTCCAAAGCCAGGCTTTGGCCAGTCTTTGTCTTAGAATGTGAAGTACAAATGGACCTCACTCATCATCAAGGAAGGTGGCATAGTCAGTAACGTCTTCGTGCTGGAAGGTAGATCTGGAAACATGAGGGAGATAAAGAGGGTGGTGTGTGTTGTAACTTGAACATTCTCAGGAAGGCCAGGAGGGTATGTTTTATTCGACCTAGAAGGTGGATTGGAGGAGGACGCTGCTTATCATCATAAAGGAGGGTGACATTGTCAGTGTCCTGTTCATCCTGAAAGGTAGGTTTCAAGGAGTTGAAGACAAGGGCCAAGTCCGATGAAAGTCAGGAGGGTTCCTCTCTTTGTCATAGAAAGTGAGAGGGCGTCCAGTCGTACTCTTTGCGCTGGAAACAAGCTCGAGAGCGTGTCATGGTGAATGTGAGCCAGTTGAAAGATGAGAACGAAGGAGATGAGCAAGACATGGAATCAGCAGAACTTATGCTAACGAATTCCCCAATTACCAAGTAATACGAGCACTCACTTCAGATCTTGGCAAAGTGCTCCTGCTTTTGGTAAAATATAGCCAGCAGCTTGGACGTTGGCAGAGTGCAAAATATTGGCAAAATGTCTCCCGGCTATGTTATCAATATCCTGTTGGTATACAACTGTGATAAGTGGGAACCCCGCGATAGATTATGAAGAATTGGCTGGATTCGGTAGCTTTTCATCCATGTCGTTGAGATGAATGCTGGAGATCAAGCTAAATTTTTCTAAATGACATCGGGAATCTGAGGATTTCTCGATGCATCCTGGGTGACATAGTTAGCGGCATCACGCTAGATGATGATTTTGGTGAGATGGAAAAGCATTATCAAACACAAATCAAGATATACGTTTCGCGGATGGATATTTGAGTTTTTTTTTTAACAAAAACGGCCTCGTTTTTCGTCTATACGTCAGTTTTCATTGAGCTTCACGCCTGTCAACTAAATAACATTTTGTGAATTTTTTTTTTTTTTTTTTAATATTTTTGTTGCCCGACCCGGGCTTTTGTCGTTAGTAGCACACATTCATACTGGGTTAGTACACTATATACACGGCAGTGGTACGAAGCGTTTTCGGCACCCGCTACGCGGGACAGCCTTGACCGCACGCTTCCTGTCACGTACCCCAGGTGGCACCGCACTGGTGCACACGCTGGGGCTATCCCGATTTCTCGGGCCCGGCAGGTCAGAGGGCTGCTCCGGGACATGAAGCGAGGCCGTGCCCTCGGGACATGTCACCGGACCGAAGGATCTGTTTAAAGGCGGATCAGGCCCGTGTACCTGCGGCCGGGGGCGCTGGTTGGCACAGCGGTAATCCCCACGACCGAGCGAACACTCCCCAGTTACTGCCATCTCCTGGGTAGGAGCCGGCCGAGGAAAACGCTGCCAGAGGTCAGCTTTGATCCAAGGACCTGCCACACCAAACGTGAACGCACTTGCCAACTGCGCCACAAGGGTGGTACATTTTGTGAATTCTTTATATGCCATCCAATATCCATCAATCCTTACCATTCCTAGCTCCCAACCTGTCCTATTTCTCCTGCGGTTGCTACCGTTTTTTGCGCTTATTTTGCACCGACGAGAATGCTTCGCCCGCGGCGAATCCAGCCTCCGGGCCTGAATCTAGCGCAAAAGCGCATATGAATGGCCGACGCGGCGGTTCGGCGACAGATATTTACAACTGCCGCAGGCTAAGGAGATTTAGACGACAGCCAGTGAATCGGAATATTTATGTGGGGAAATGCTGCTAGACGTGACGTAAATAACTGAGTTGGGCTAGTTTCCGGCTTGTATTTTTCAGCGACTGAAAGCATGTATGTATTTCACAGTGGTATTTGTTGATGGGAGAGGACCTTGTTAAGATTTATTAGCGATCCTCGGTGAGCTCTTTTTTCCTATCTCATCTCTCTTTTCTCTTGTTGGCTACGAGTGGTTAAGAACATCTTTGTATCTATGTACTATGTATTCGACAGTTTTATTTGCTGATGAGAAGGGAACTTGTTAATTTACTAAACGTAATGTCCGGGCTACTCTCTCTCTCTCCCTCTTTCTCTCTCTCTACTCTTTATTTCTTTCCGTCTCTCTCTCTCTCTCTCTCTCTCTCTCTCGCTCTCTCTCTCTCTCTCTCTCTCTCTCTCTCTCTCTCTCTCTCTCTCTCTCTCTCTCTCTCTCTCTCTCTCTCTCTCTCTCTCTCTCCTCTCCTGCTCTTCTCCATTCTATCACCTCGACCTCTGCATAATATTCAGAATGCTATCACCATCGCGACGCTAAGCTAGCCAAGAAACCTCCCTCACTTCTATAAGTTTTGTTTTTTCGCCGCTGCGTCGGTCACTGCCGCGGTGGCCGTGTTTTTTAGTTGTGTATTTTTACTCCTGGCAGGTTTTTTAGTCGTGTATTTTTACTCCTGGCAGGTGTGTTTGAGAGGGAGAGGGTGAGGGGAGGGGTAGCGGAATGTCCCCAACGTCACAGAATGAATGGGAGGAATTCCGTAATCAGGGAGTGGGAATGTGACAAAATCGCGAGGAATTCACTCGAAAAGGTGATTTTGCTATTTTCCGAATATTGATGTATGTATGTATGTATGTATTGTATTCATAAAAATCTCCACATCGTGGCTCTTCCGATTTCAGAGTCAGTACATTAGTTAAACACAGTGGGCACTGGGCATGTTCATAAAACACGAAAAAATGATGGTTTAAAAATCACTATAAATTGCTAAAATGCGATAAAACTGAGCACATCTACTCCCCATGTCTTGCGATTCACCTCCGTGGGTGACACAATAAACGACTCCTCCTGAGCTCGGCTGGCAGGCGTTTCCAGGCGGTGGTAGCCCGGCACATAAATGCACGGCGAGCGAGTTCTGTGCGCACGCGTGGCATTTGCAGCAGCATACTCTCCGATCCCCGCGTGGTCCTTTCTGATGTATCGTAGCAAGATTACTAGAAAACATGCACTTGGAAAGCAGCTTGGAATGTGCTGCATTGGACTTGGAATTGTCGAAAAACGTCCGAAGCTCAACCTCTCAGGCTCTCACTTCTTCGAGTCGTTGCATAATGCATAATAGTGTGCTTATTCAATCGGAAAACATTGGATTGCAGTGGGAATAGTCGAAAGCACTCCAATGTACAGGGGCCCGGGAACGATTTTCAAGTTGGGGGGGGGGGGGGGGGGGCGAGCCTAAAATGCCTGACATGATGCATATGAAGCAGTGGCGTAGTTAGGGGTCTAAGGGGACACGTACCCCCCCCCCACCCCCACCCCACCCCCCCACCCATCGGGTTGAAAGGGACCCTCGGGTCCGAGAGGACCTGCGGTGCCATTTGACCGCTGAAGGTTAACGATGGCCAATGGCCAGGCCATATTTCGACTCAGAATGGCCTCATAGGTCTCGTTAGAGCACCTTATGGGCCCTAAATAACCACACTAAAATCTCAACAAGGGCCCCACGCCGGCTTCTGAGGGAATCTTGCAGATTTTAAGGGCCCCTCGGTGGTCTCCAAAGGCCCGTTACTGGCCTCTGAGAGTTCTTACCGGCCTATGAGGGGCCAGTTCTAGGGGCATTTCCCGCCTGTGATGGTCACACACTTATTTTTCCGAGGGTCCCATAACGGCAACTGTGGGGGCCCTCATCGGCGCCTATGAGGGCCCACACCGGTGTCTCTGAGCGTTTCACCCCCCCCCCCCCAACTCTGAGTGCCTATACCAGTGCCTTTTAAAGCCCTATATCGGCGGCTCTGAGGACCCAACAGTCAACAACTGCGCATCTAAAGGCCACCCACTGGAAACTTTTGAGGGCCCCACACCGGTGACTCTGAGCCCTGAGGGCCCCACCGGCGTCTGACAGTACCATGCCGGTCTCTAAGGACCCCACAAGACTTCTTCTGCCGGCCTAAGGGCCCCGTGCCGGTCACTGAGAACCCCCTGTTGGTTTGTAGAGGGTTCGCGTCATCAGCTCTAAAGACCCCACACCCGTCTGTAACGGCTCCACACCAGCGTCTATGAGATCCCAGAGCAACGCCTGTAAGGACCTCACCGGCGCCTCTGAGAGAATCACACTAGCACCTCTGTGCGCCCGAACCGGCACCTGCATGGCGGCCCATACCAATGCCTCTAAAGGCCCCTTACCGGCGGCTCTGAGGGCCCTATACGCCGGTGATTCTGAGGGTGCTACCGATAACCAAATGCATCAGACAAGCCCTTAGTGTCGCTGAGCTTTAATCCCATAGATACCGGCCTTCCGAGGGCGCCACGTCAGTGCACTCATTGCCCCACACCCCTCCCTCACACCCGGAGCGGGTAAACTGTGTTATACCTATATTATAGCAACGATTTTACCACCGTTGTACGTTATATATTTCTCAAAGTTTTCTCAAAATGGTCTAGTATAAAATCTGGCGCGCCAAACTCATGGCCAAGGCCAGGCCCAAACCAAAGCGGGATGACAATAGCAGATGTTGTGAAATCGATACTGTATCAGCAGAAACCATTCAGATGGCTAGGAAAATGCCGTGTGATGATGTTTAGATGGAAAACAAGAAGGAAAGAAGTCCGGAAAAGGGAAGAAAGATCCTTTCACGCTGCCTCAATGTTGAGGGGGCGCCGCCCCCTCGGCTCTCAAGTTGGGGGGGGCAAGCGCCCCCGCTGCCCCCCCTGTTCCCGGGTCTATGCCAATGTAATGCCCAGAATATCAAAATGTCTAATCTTTGTATTTTATTTCTTATTTAAATTTCTTTATACGTGATTCACGTATAAAGACGTTCTT